ACTGCAGTGGGAGGGACAAGGTGGTAGGGCGTACCGAGGGCGGGGCCTAGAGCACTTAGTCGGCCTGGAAGAGGCGGGGCCTAGGCTTCAGGCTTCTGGAGTAGACCCGGGCGCGGGGACCAGGGGCCTGGGCGTCAGGAGCGCAGCTGCCCGGGAGTGGGCGAGGTGCAACAGACAGGCCACTGCCACAGACCGGCTTGGTCCCTGTACGGTGTCGGTACCACCCTGTGGGCTTGTTAAACAGACTTGCAGACTTGGGTTCTGATTGTTTGCAGATGTGGGTGTGGCCTGACATTTTGATTTGAGGTTTGTTTTGGAGGTTTTTTTGTAACCTGACATTTTGATTTGAGGTTTGTTTTGGAGGTTTTTTTGTAATGTTTGTATGTTTGCCTGTGTGTGAAGAGAGAAGAGGTTGTTGGACGCCCTTGAGATAGAGTTGAGAGCTTTTATGAGCCTCCCCATGTGAGCAGCAAACTCATTTGGGTCCTCTGGAAAAGCAATGAACCATCTCTTCAGCTACCCTGCCGTTTTTAAAGATTTTTTAAATCTTTAAAACCATATATTTTTAAAGATTTATGTGCCTGGAAGAATGATGTGCATCACCCGTGTGCCTGGTGCCCATAGCGGTCAGAAGGCATGGGGTTCCCTGGAGTAGGAGTTTCCAATGGTTATAAACCATCGTCACAGCCGGGCGTCGGTGGCGCACGCCTTTAATCCCAGCCCTCAGGAGGCAGAGGCAGGTGGATCTCTGAGTTCGAGGCCAGCCTGGTCTACAAGAGCTAGTTCCAGGACAGCCTCCAAAGCCACAGAGAAACCCTGTCTCGGACAACAAACAAAATAAATAAATAAATAAATAAATAAATAAATAAATAAATAAACCATCGTCGCATTGCATGCTGGGAAAGAAGCCTGGGTCCTCTAAAGGAGCAACAAGCGCTCTTCCCTAACCCTGAGCCGTCTCTCCTGCCCTACTTATTTTTATTATTCTATTACTTAATGTGTGGGTGTGCAGTCGGGTCTCCCCTTCTGTCACAAGCCCCAGAGGTGGAACCCAGGCTGTTAGCCTAGGTGGCAAGCATCTTTACCCATTGTCCCCTTAGGACATCCTCATTCAAACCACTAAACAAGTGCTGGGATAAATGGCATACACCACCACACTCACTCCCACTTGGTTTGATTTCTAGGGTTAGTTGTGATGATTGATCCTGATTGCCAGCTTGACAGGATCTAGAATCACATACAAGACAAAGCTCTGGGGGTACATCCGTGAATTTCTGGACTGGCTGTGAAGGGAAGATGCAGCATTCCATGGGTTGGAGAAAGTGAGCTGAACAGCATTTGGCTCTGCATCCTGTCAGTGGATACTGGTGACCAGCTGCCTCACCCCACATGACACATGTAAGTAAGTGCAAGTGCCTCCAGAGGCCATCCAGAAGAGGGCATCAGATCCCCTGGGATGGAGGTTGGGGGTGCCTAGTGTGGGTACCGGAAACTGAACTCAGGTCCTCTGGAAGAGCAGTAAGTTCTCTTTATCACAGAAGCATTTCTCTAGCCCGTAAAAACGTTTTAAATTTTAAGTTTTCTTAGCCAGCTGTGGGGGCCATTAATCCCAGCATTCAGGATGCAGACCAACATCTGGTCTACATAAGGAGGTATAAGCTACATAGTAAAACACTGTCTCAAGTGTTTTAAAGGAAATACAGTCATGTATGGTGGCACATACCTGCCATCTAGCACTGTCATGGTTATTTTTCTATTGCTATAAGACACCACAACCACTGCAACTTGAGAAGAGATTGTTTGGTAGGTAGTTCACAATTCCAGGGGCTTAGAGTCCATGACCCTCATGCAGGTAAGCATGGTACTGGAGCAGTAGCTGAAGCTTATACCTAATCCAGAGGCAGCAGGCAGAGACACACTGGGCCTGGTGTGGGCTTTTGAAACCTCAAAGCCCACCCCCAGTGACACACCTCCTTCAACAAGACCATACCTCCTATCTTTTCAAATAGTGCCACTCCCTAACATTTAAACATATGAACCTATGGGTGCCATTCTTATTCAAATCACCACACAGACAAAATACTTTTACATATAAATGTTTAAAATAATTTAAAAGAAAAATAGGGGGGCTAGAGAGATGGCTCAGTGGTTAGCACTGGCTGCTCTTCCAGAGGACCTGGGTTCAATTCCCAGCAACCACATGGCAGCTCACAACTGTCCATAACGCCTGTTCTAGGGGATCCAATACCTTCATAAAGACATTCATTCATGCAGGCAAAACACCAATGTACATAAAATAAATAATAATAATAAAAAGTGCTGGTTCCAGGACAGCCTCCAAAGCCACAGAGAAACCCTGTCTCGGAACCCCCCCAAAAGAAAAAGAAACACAGAGAACAAACAAATTTTTTTTTAAATTTTAATAAGTCTTTAGAGTAGACGATAAAATATTTTTAAAAATTCATTTTACCATCTTTTATTTCATGAAGGTATTTAAGAGCAAAAGCTCTTAAAGGTATATTAAGAACAAAAGCATATTGTTTATGGTCAGATTCTTACAGGTCCCTCTTCTGCACAGGGGAAACTTTTTTAAGACAACGTCTCACTATGTGGCTCAAGTTGTCCTAGACCTTGTTAGATAGATCAGGCTGGTCTGATACTAAGAGATCTCTCTGCCTGCCTCTGCCTCTGAAGATTAAAGGTGTGTGTTTCACAGGCAGCGGAGGGAGACCTCCTGATATACACAGCAGGGCTGCAGGGTCTGGGGGTGATTAGAGGACCCCACCACAAACATGGGCTTGTTTTTCAGAAACATGGACAAATGACCATGCAGACGTGTGCTTATTCAGATGTGTATTAGCAGGGAGGCGGGGCCAGTCCTCTGCGTGCACAGTGGGGGCGACTATAGTTCACCTTGCCTGTGGAATCTGCTGAAATGGCTGCTGTGACTGTGAAACTTCCCTACCAGCAGCTCCTCATCCTCCTCTCGGGCTTTTTTCACTTCTTCCTTGGCTTGTATGGCATCCATCTCCTTTTCTGGACCCTGGAGGGACAAAAATAAAACAGGCTGGAGCTGGGGCTGGAGCTTATCACAGTAGAGTGCTTGTAGCTCGGTTGATAATGCTTGCCTAGCACTGGATTTCAATAGTCAGCACAGGAAAAACTGAGCACAGGAGAAACTGGACACGGTGGTGCACCTGCATACAGGCTCAGGGGTCAGAAGTCCAAGGTCACTCCCAACAACAAGTCTGGGAATGTGTGAGACCCTGTCTCTAAATAGATAAAAACTGACTACAGCAGACATCCCAGCACTTGGGAAGCAGAGACAAGAAATGATTCCTGTAAGTGGCAAAGCTCTACTGAGACCCCTCCCTCTCGAGAAACCGGGGCTGCAGGGATGGCTTAGACACACTGCTCTCCCAGAGGACCTGTTATCAGTGCCCAGCCCCACACAAGGCAGCTCACAATTCGTGTGACTGCAGCTCCAGGAGCTCCGACACAGTCTTATGGCCTCTGGGGGCACTGCACTCATGTGCACAGGCATAGTTACAGATAAAAATGAAAGAAAACCAGGCTTAGTGGTGCATGCCTTTAATCTCAACACTCAGGAGGCAGAGGCAGACTGATCTCTGAGTTCGAGGCCAGCCTGGTCTACTTACTGAATCCTTCTCTCAAACAAACAACTCGAGCTGGGTCGTTTGTGCTTACCTTAGTCTCCCCCCAGGTGGCCTTGCCAAACCGCTCTGCATATTCTTCATCATCTGTGATCAGGAAGTTATCAAAGATGGTTCCAGATCTCACCTGTGGATGGAAGCAGGCCCTCACTGGTGGTGGGAGATACACAACCTTCCTCATGGCCAGGGGTACTTAGCTCAGTAGTGCACCTATGATCAGGTGTCACTGGCCATGATGAAGCCCGTTTCTATAATGGTAAAGCCATATTCCAGGTGAGGCTCAGGGTGACCCAAGGGTAGAGCACACTCTTACTATGCAGGAGGACCTGACACCTAAGCACCTAGCACCTAAGTGTGGGTAGTGGGTATCAAGTGGGACTCAGAAGCCCAGGCTCCACCCCTACTGCATATCCCACAGCTGACAAGAGTGACAGTCAGCTCCAAAGGAAGGGACTGCTAAGGGGCAAGGATGACAGGGCCATGCTGTGTCTTCAAGACCACATGCAACTGCAAATGATAACAAACATGCTCAGTGAAAAGTAATTACAGGCTGGGGTTCCATGGAGGGCTGGAGGTTAGGAGGTTATCTTAACCACTTGCCACTCCTGAAGCAGAGTTCAGTTCATAGGATCTACACCAGGTGTCTCTCAAAAGCCTGTAACTCAAGCTGCAGGGGATCAGACACCCTCTGCTGGCCTCCAAGGACACTTGCACACATGTGTACATACACAATACACAGAACTCTTGCTGGGAAAGCTTTCAGGACCTGAGTTCAAATCTCCAACCCCATGTGAAAAGCCAGGCATGGTTGTACAGGTGCTTACGACTCCAGTATTTGGGGGGCAGGAGGTGCAGACAAGGGGTTCACTGGACACCAGGCTTGCTGCAGGTTCAGTGAGAGACCCTATCTCAAAGGAATAAGGCAGAGTGGCATAACTAGACACCAGACATCTTCTGGCCTCTGCCCATACATGTTAAACACCCCCCCCACACACACACACACACGTACAACAACATTTGTGTACCAAGCAGGTTTTGTTAAACTTCAAGTTATTAAATCTGCCAGCCACAGTGACATATGCCTAGGACCACAGCACTCAGGAGCTGAAGCAAAAGGGTCATGATTTCAAGGCTACACAGCAAGGTTCAATCCAGAGCTATGAAAGTAAAGCTAACTTAAAGCCAAGTCACCTGCCACAGCTCCAGACCGACGGCACCAATGTTCTCGAACTCTGAGAGGTCGTACTGAGTCAGATAGTTGGCAGGCTTCATCTCCCGGTGGAGCCACACATCTTTATCTATGCCCTCAGCCTTCAGGCCATCCTGCAAAAGCAGATGCTTGCCAGGCATGTGTCACAAGCAGCAGAAATGGTTGGTTTGTTTTTTGGTTTGTTTTTTCCTATCAAAGGTGACTTGCCCACCAAGGGCCAATATTCATAAATCTTTCTGCAACTTATAAAAGTTTTATGCAAAGGAATTCAAGTCTTTTCATTTCCTCCACTAGTAAAAATTCCATGCAAATTTTTTAGCCTCCCTGATCTGGTTTAATTTTTTTTTTATTAAAAGCACCCTTCCGAGGGATGGTGGTGGCACATGCCTTTAATCCCAGCACTTGGGAGGCAGAGGCAGGAGGATCTCTATGAGTTCGAGGCCAGCCTGGTTTACAGAGCAAGTGCCAGGACAGGCTCCAAAGCTACACAGAGAAGCGGTCTCAAAAAACCAAAATAATAAATAAATCAATAAATTAAAAGCCCCTGCCCCTAATTCCTGGAACTTGATAGCCTGAAGCAACCTGCCCCTTTCCCCTTTCCTTTGCATCAACTCTTTCAAAAGTAACAAACCTCAAAAGACTATGATTAGGTTCCCTTGAGACACAGGCACCATCTGTGTCAGAACAAAAACTAAACCAACTTTCTCCCATGTGCTTGCTAGCAGGCTTGGGACACAGTGTGTCCTTTTCACAAAAAGAAATTTCCTTGCCGGGTTACTTTTACTTTGTGACACTGAGAATATTCTCTTCTAACACTACAGGTGGGACAGGGACAAGGGCCACCACAAGGGCCCAGAATCAGTGCAGGAAGAAGCCACACACCTGGTATGGTGGCTTCTGCAGCCAGTCCCCATCCAGCTCACTGTTCCAATCGCTTGGCTTGCTGGCGCCTGCATCCAAAAAGTGCTTTTCCCAATCCTGCAAATATAGAAAGGAGAGCATGACACCAGAAGCAGACTGGGAAGAAGGAAATTTTTGTAAAATGTTTTTATTACATTTATTATGCATATGTGCACAGGTGGTGGTCAGAGGACAACTTGCTGGAGTCAGTTCTGTCCTTCCACCTCGTGGGTTCCAGGAATCAAATCCAAGTCCTCATTGCTTGGCAGTCATCTTACCACCCCCAGGAAATGCTTTAGTGTAAACTGCAGGGGAACCTAGAGAGCACATATGCCCAGTGGGGCTGGGACAGAGCCCAGATAGCCTCCAGAGGCTGGTGGGCACTAGCAGACAGGCAGGACGTAACAGATTAGCGGAGCAGAGCCCTAACTCCTGTCACAATGCCCTTTCCTGTCCACTGGAATGGTCTCCAAGTGTGTGGATGCCTTTGTGTCAAGTTGGCACAGGCTGGGGTCATCTGAGAGGAGGGAGACTCAATTAAGAAAATATATCCATAGATGGGTAATGGTGGCCCAGCGCTCAGGAGGCAGAGGCAGGAGGATCTTTGAGATCTTTGAGTTTGAGGCCAGCCTGGTCTACAGAGTGAGTGAGTTCCAGGACAGCCAGGGCGCCAAAGAAAATCCCTGTCTCAAAAAACGAGAGAGAGAGAGAGAGAGAGAGAGAGAGAGAGAGACAGAGAGAGATTTCTTTACTAAGATTAGGGTAGTAGGTAACCTGTAGGGAATATTCTTTTTTCTTATAATTTTTATGTATTTATGAGTACTCTGCACACACGCTGGCATGCCAACAGTGAGTATCAAATCCTATTATAGGTGGTTGTGAGCCACCATGTGGTTGCTGGGAATTGAACTCAGGACCTCTGGAAGAGCAGCCAGTGCTCTTGAACTCTGAGCCGTCTCTCCAGCCCCACATTTTCTTAGTGATTGATGGGGAGGGAGGGCCCAACCCATTGTGGTTGATGCCATCCCTGGGCTGGTGGTCCTGGGTTCTGTAAGAAAGCAGGCTAAGCCAGGCAATGGTGGCACACGCCTTAAATCCCAGCACCTGTGAGGCAGAGGCAGGTGGATCTCTGTGAGTCTGAGGACAGCCTGGTCTCCAGAGTAAATTCTAGGTCAGGATAAAGGCTGCTCAGTGAGACTCTGTGTCAAAAACAAACACCCCACTAAAATTGCTTTTGCAATACCTTAAGTTGTGTGTCCAGGGTTCAGTGAGAGGTCTGTGTGGACCATGATACAGTGTAAGCCAGCCATGGAGAAGGACTCTCACCACATTTCCAGGCTGCAGCTCACCTACCTGGGCTTTGTCACTTTCCACCTGATCCCAGTCCCTAGACTCAGCTGATGTCTTTTCCATTTTCTTCAGTGACATCAGGTTCCAGTCATACTCAATGCTGCCAGATTCAATGGACTGGCCGTCAATTTTCACCTCGTAAGAAAGATCTGGCCTTAAAATCAGGGTGTAGAGGTGGGTGAAGCCATCGACCTGCACAGAAACCACAGTGAGGCACACTTTTATTGTGTATTCAGATGTATACTTTAAAATAGGAGCCAGGGCTGGGAGATGGCTCAGTGGGGGAAGGCACTCGCCACCAGGGTCCACATTGATCCACATTGGTGGAAGCACAGAAATGAGTCCCACAAGTTCTCCTCTCTCCTCTCTCTCTCTCTCTCTCTCTCTCTCTCTCTCTCTCTCTCTCTCTCTCTCACACACACACACACACACACACACACACACACACACTGGGGTAGGAGACAGTAGGGATAAAACAGAGCTGGGTGTGTTGGAGTTAGAGGAAGCACAGGCCTCTGCCCTAGCAATTGGGAGGCTGAGGCAGGGAGACCATGAGTTTCTGGCCAGCCTGGGCTACAGTGCAAGTCCCTGACTTTTATTTATTTTGGTTTTTCTTTTTCTTCTTTTTTTTTTTTTTTTTTTGGTTTTTTGAGACAGGGTTTCTCTGTGGCTTTGGAGGCTGTCCTGGAACTAGCTCTTGTAGACCAGGCTGGTCTCGAAAAAGCAATTTTTTGGTTTTGGTTTTGTTTTTCGAGACAGGGTTTTTCTGTGTAGCTTTGGAGCCTATCCTGGCTTATTTTTGTTTTTCGAGACAGGGTTTCTGTGTATAACAGTCCTGGCTGTCCTAGAAATCACTCTGTAGACCAGGATGGTCTCAAACTAACAGAGATCCATCTGACTCTGCCTCCCGAGTGTAGGGACTAAAGGCGGGCACCACTGCTGCTCAGCCAAAGTCATCTTTTTATCTAAGTTTTTAAAAAATGAAGTTTTCAACTTGTCTTTCTAGGCCTCTTCGATATTTCTCCATATTTCTTTTTACTACACTTTATTTGGTAGATGGAGGTCAGAGGACTTTTGGGTTTTCTCCTTCTACCATGCGAGTTCCAGGAATTGAACTCAGGTGTTCAGATTTGGCAGCAAGCCATCTGACTGCCCCATCTCCAGGTTTTCACAGCTGGAAAGTTGAGGGGAAACTCAGCTGTGAACCTGGATTCCTGACAGGGAGCTGGGAGCCAATGGTCATGTGAGGATTGTTCTCTAACTTTCCAGCATGACAATCTAGGCTAGAAACATAGTCCTCAGAGTTGGAGGGTCTTTATGACAAAAAATTATGTTTAGTAGCAGTGTGTACCCATGAGTGCACACATATGCATCCTTAGATGGAGGTCAGAACAGACCAGAACTTTTGGAAGTTGATTCTCTCCTTTCACCATGTGGGGTCCAGGGTTCAACCTCAGCTTGTCAGGTTTGGTGTTTCTTCCCACTGAACCATCTTATCAAACCCTCTTTCTTAGACTCATTTTGTAATAAATGTGTGTGCAAGGAGCACAAACCTTTAATCTACTAGGGAGGCAGAGGCAGGTGAGTTAGAGGACAGCCTGGTCTCCAGAGTGAGTCTAGTGCATGTGTACAGGGCCCTGTGTGTGTGTCAGTGTTTGTGTGTGTGTGTGTGTGTGTGTGTGTGTGTCAGTGTGTTAGTGTGTGTGTGTGTGTGTGCCCCTGTAGTGTGTCTGTGTGTCTGTGTGTGTGTGTGTGTGTGTGTGTGTGTGTGTGTGTGTCAGTGTGTTAGAGTGTGTGTGTGTGTGTGCCCCTGTAAATTTATGTATTTGTGTGTGTGTGTGTGTGTGTGTGTGTGTGTGTGTGTGTGTGTGTGTGTGTGTTGGAGTGCACAAACTCATGCATACAGATGCCTGTGGAAGCTAGAAGAAGGTGTTGGATGCCACATAATGAGGTAAGGCAATTGTGAGCCACCTGACATGTGTGATGGGATCAGAACTCGGGTCCTCTGCACTCAACCCCTGAGCCATCTCTATTGCCTTAGTCTTCAGCTTCTAAAAGGCTCTTCACTGTTACTAGCTCCTTGCCAATATGAAGAAGCAGGCAGAGGAGTGTCCTTTGGCAGCAGGCTGTGGGAAAGCCATAATATTCAGGCTGGTGAAAACTATTCTGTGACATGTGGCTGGAGGACTCCCGTCAACTCACCATGCCACATGGGACCTCATGCTCTCACCTTCTTGGGAAATCTTCCCTGCCTTTGAGTGGAAAGAACACTTTTTTTTTCCAGACAGGGTTTCTCTATGTAACAGCCCTGACTGTCCTGGAACTGGACAGCTCTGTAGACCAGGCTGGCCTCGAACTCACAGAGATCCCCCTGCCTCTGCCTCCTGAGTGCTGGGATTAAAGACGAGCGCCACCACTGCCTGGTCAGCAAAAATGTTTTTAAAAGCATGCAGAAAGCAGCCTTGTATAGCTGACTAAAAGCTGCTATTTTCCTAGGTGTGATGGTACATACCTTTAATCCCAGCTCTCGGGAGACAGAGGAAGAGAGATCTCTGTGAGTTCAAGGCTATACTATGAGTTCCAAGCTAACCAGGGCTACATAATGAATCCCTGCCAATAAATAAATAAATAAATTCATGCCTGGTGCCTATGAAGGCCAGAAGAGGGTTTCTGACCCCTGGAATTGGAGTCACAGGTGGTTGTGAGCCTCCATGTGGGAGCTGTGGGCAAACCCAGGTTCTTTGCATGAGCAGCCAGTGCTTTAACCACTGAACAATCTCTCCAGCCCCTGGACATTGCTTTTTTCTGTGTGTATATGTACAGTGCATATGTGTACAGAGGTACCTGTATGTATGCATGTGCCTACCTGCAAGTAGAGACCAGGGGCTGCGGTCACGTGTCTTCCTTGATCGCTCTCCACCTTCCACACTGAGGCAGTGTCTCTCTGAACTCAGAGTCACTGATCTGGCTGGCCAGGTAGCCTGCTCCAATAGCATTGCCTCAACCTGCCTTATGCTACTGTATGTCTTAAAAACCAAATCAATATGTTGGTGTGGTGGCTCACTCTGGTTAACCAGACATTTGGGAGCTAGAAGCAGGAAGATCAGGAATTCAAGGTCATCCTTGGATACACAGTGAGTTTAAGGCCAGCTTGGGTTACATGAGCCCTTGTCTTAATATGGAGACAAACCCACAAAGCCCTCTAGCTCCAGTGTCACTCTGAGCCCTGTAGTCCCAGTGCCATGGGTTAAGTAGTTTGGCAGAATATGGTGGTTTGAATGAGAATGGCCACCCAAAGGTTCACATATTTGAATGATTAGAATGATGGGGAGGCTATGGACTTGGAGGAGGGGTGGGTTTTGAGATTTCAAATGCCCAAACCAGGCCCACTGTGGGTCTCTTCCCACTGCCTGCAAATCAGGATATAGCTTTCAGTTCCTTCTCCAGTATCATGTCTGCCTGCATGCTGCCTTGTTCCCACCATGCTGACAATGGAACAAAGCTCTGAAACCATAATCCACCCTCTCTCTCTCTCTCTCTCTCTCTCTCTCTCTCTCTCTCTCTCTCTCTCTGCTTTTCGAGACAGGGTATCTCTGTAGCGTTGGAGATTGTCATGGCACTCGCTCTGTAGACCAGGCTGGTCTCAAACTCACAGAGATCTGCCTGCCTCTGCCTCCCAAGGGCTGGGATTAAAGGCGTGCTCCACCACCACCCAGCCTTGGTGTCTTGTCACAGCAATAGAACAGGAAATTTCAATACAGGCTGACTTGCAGGCTATAGCCTTATGGTTTAAGTATGAGCCCCCATGCCCTGTCTTATTCACATTCATCAGGCATGTCTGGGAGGCTGAAAGAGGAGGATCATGGGTTTTGAGGCCATTTGGGCCATGCAGTGAGATGAACTGAAGGGAAAGAAAAGTGGGGCAGCAGAGATAGTTCAGTGGTTAAGAGTGCATCAGCTCTCACAGAGGCCAGAGTTTGGTGTCCAGCACCCATGTCAGGTGGCTCCAGGGGATTCAACACCCTATTCTGACTTCTGTGGGTACTGCACTCACACACACACACACACACACACACACACACACACACTGAGAGAAAGAAAGAAAGAAAGGAAGGAAGGAAGGAAGGCAGGAAGGGAGAGAGGGAGGAAGAGGGTGCTTACCTTGCATCTGATTGTCTTCTTATTTGAATGATACTGGTTTTTGAAATATAAGATAACATGAACTTTCTTGATATCAAATCCACAAATATCAGGTCCTAAAAAACAATTAAGTGCTCTCAACTTTCTTCCAGACTGCATCAGCATACAGAAACCCTAGGCTAAGCATTGCCCTCAAACACAGGGAGCAAATACGTCTGTTCGGGACACTCTGACTTCACCAGAAGACAGAAACAAAGGTCTGGTGACTATCCCTCCTGCCAGTTACCATGGCCCCAGCTGTGAAGCAACACACACTAGGAAACAAGTGTCCAGTCCTGTGGTCACAGTGTGGAGAGGCTGAGGCAGGAAGACCACCAATCCCAGCCCAGAGAGCATATCCAGCTCCCGACTCAAAGAGCAAAAGAATGAGGTGAAGATGGCTCAGAAGGAGATGTCATTTGTCCAGGCTGAGGACCTGGCTCAGGTCCTGGGGAACACAAGGTGGAGGGAGAGAGCCCCTGCTGCACCTCGCCTTCTAACCTCCACATGTATACCACGGCCCATGCATGCCTTGCATAAATAATTTTTAAAAGATTTTTTTGTGTGTGTGTGTGTGTGTGTGTGTGTGTGTGTGTGTGTGTGTGTGTGTGTGTGTGTGTGTGTGTGTGTGCAGGTACTTGTGGTGGCCAAAAGGAGGAGTCAGATCCCCTGGATCTGGAGTTCCAGGTGACTATGAACCACCCCACCGTGGTGCTGAGAGCTTAACAGGAGCCCTCCACAAGAGCAGAAAGAGCTGTCTCTCCAGCCCCCAAATACATATGTTCTTTAAAATAAACACTCATTTCAGTGTTTTAATTTAATTCAAATAAAAATTATAGAAAAAAATAAAATAAAATTTTTAAAAAGAACAAAGAGTTAAGGCATTTTGTACTGCTTTGTCTTTTGCTTTTTTGTTTTGTTTTTTCAACACAGGGTTTCTCTGTGTAGCCCTGGCTGTCCTGGAACTCTGTAGACCAGGCTGGCTTCAAACTCACAGAGATCCACCTGCCTCTGTGTCCCAAGTGCTGGGATCAAAGGTGTGAGTCACCACCACCTGGCCCTCAATCGCCATTTTATGCCTTTGAGACAGGGACCCTCACTGAGCAGTCCTTCCAGCTAGACTGGTCAGCCTGAGGCGCTCCCAGGGTCTGCCTGTGTTGGAACTGCAGGTACACACAGCCATGTCTGACTTTTTATGTGGGTTTTGGGGATTTGAACTTATAGTTACCCCTTGAGTCATCGCCAATCTTTATTTTATTTTCTACACTTTTGGAGGGGTTTGAGACAGGGAGTCATTGTAGCCCAAGCTAGCCTCGAACTCTGTAGCTAAAGATGACTTTGAACTGCCTCTACCTCCTAAAAACTGGGATGGTGCCTGCTTTATGAGGTCTGGCAATGGAGCCCAGGGCTTTTTGCATGCTAAGCAGGCATGCTAGGCAGGCACACTAGCAATTGAGCCTGGGCCCAGCCCACACTTGGAATCTTTCAAGCTTCCCAGCCTACACTTGGAATTGCTCAAGCTTTACCATACTTTTAAAAGTGATCAGAAAGCCCACTGTCCCTTACCTGACAGTCTGGGCTTGTTTCAGAAGCCAGAATTTGTCACTTTGGGACATACATGTGTTGACTTCACCTATCCAGTGTCTCTACTTGATGGGGGATGTCCTTCTGTATATATGTTTCTCTTTTTGGTTGATGAATAAAACACTGTTTGGTCAGTAGCCAGTAGAGGCAGAAAGATAGGCAGGGCTAGGAGATGAGAATTTTCGGGAAGGTAGGCAGAGAGAGACTAGGAGAGCAACTCCATGTAGGGACTGGGAAGAAAGGACATGCCAGGTGTTCTCTGGTAAGATAAGACCACATGGAAATACATAGATTTGTATAAATTAGTTAATAATTAAGACAGAGCTAGCCAGTAAGAAGCCCTAGCCATCAGCCAACAGTTTTATAATTAATATAGCATCCATGTGTTTACTTGGGGCTCAACAGCAGCGGGACCTGGTGGGACAAGAAACCTCCACAACACCCACTGAAATCCCAAACGTCATCACTGTTTTCAATCTTAGGAGGCAATGTCTTGTTATTTAGCCAGGCTGGCATCATGTTCTCCCAATCCTCCTGCCTCTCCTCCTGGGTGCTGGGGAGGCAGGATTTACCACCATGCCCCAAAAAGAAAAATCAAACATGTATATATGTATATATGTATATATTTTTTATGTGTGTGATGTTTGTGTATGTGTGTGAATGCAGGTGTGTGGCTGGCTCATTGTGGTCTCAGCACTCAACAAGTTTCAGGGCTGAGGTTGTAGCTCAGAGTTAGAGTGTTTACAAGGCCCTGGGTTTCAACACATAGCCATGTTCAGAACCAGTGAGATGGCTCAGCAAGTAAAGGCACTTACCATCAGGCTTGAAGGGCTGAATTCAAGTCCCAGAACTCAAGCAGAGGAAGGAAAGAACTGACTCCAAGTTACTGGAGCTTCAGGGATGGCTCCTCCATAAAGAGTGGGGCTGTTCTTGCAGAGGTTCTGTTCCCAGCATCCACTGACAGCTCACAACCACCTGTAACTCCAGTTCCAGGGGAACTGACAACCTCTTCTGGTCCCCAGTCATCTGCATGTACATGCTGCACACACAGCCACATAAATTAAATGGATAAATAAACTTATTTTAAAAGTCAGGTTCAGATTCAGAGCCCTTCAGCTTCATGATTCTTAGTCCCGAGAATACTCAGCCTGCATTGGTTGGCTGAACAGTGCTACAAACCTTGGGCCAGATGGGTTCAATACTGCTCAGTTAGTTCTGTCAGCAGAGCCTCAGTGTCCCTGGCTGAACTCACCAAACATGATGTAGTACTGAGACTTTCCGTTCATATTCTTTTGATCCAGGTCAGAGGGGAACACCTTGATGTAGCCACCACCACAGTCCATCTTCTGTTCGTGCTTCACTGTGTACTGGATCACCAGAGTCTTCCCTTTATTGCTGAATGGCTTGAAGCTCGCAGAGATGGCGTAGAATCGGCTGTTCTGGGTTGTCTGCAGGCCTTCCAACAGAAAGTGAGCAAGTTGGAGTCACAACGGCATTGCACTCAGAAACTTGCTGGGACCTCAAATTCAAGTCCCCGGTGGACCCCAATAACAGAGGTCCTGCTTGCACAGAGCAGTTGCAGTGTGCACCAAGTTCATCACTAAGTTCTCTGCTGCCAGGAACCTATGCCTCACACACCCAGATGCCTTGTACTTAAGATGCCTCCTTTGCCAGGGCCAGTGAGATGGCTCAGTGGGTGACGGCGCTTGCAGCCAAGCCTGATGACCTGAATTAGATCCTTGGGGACCCATGCCATGGAAAAAGGGGCAACGCCCAAAAGCTGTCTTTTAATTTCTACTTGCACATCATGACACTTGTGCCCCCACTACAGTATCACGCCCCCCCACATACACTTTACAAAAATACATTCTTGCTAGGTTTTTGTTGTTGCTTTGTTTTGTTTTGTTTTGTTTTGTTTTGTTTTGAGAAAGGGTCTCACTGTGTAACCCTGGCTATCCTGGAACTTACCATGTAGACCACACTGGCCTCGAACTCAGAGATGCCCTGTCTCTGCTTCTGGAGTGCTGGGATTAAAGGTGTGTGCCACCACACCCAAAAGGGTCATTTTTGTTGTTTTGTTTTGTTTTTTAATATTGGGTACAGATAGAACACAGGACTTGGCACATGCTCAGCACTGGCTCTCCCTCTGGATCCCATCCTCAATCCCACCACGGCTATACTTTAGGTTATAAAATTACTAACCTGGGGATACGGCTCACTTGGAAGCTCAACTAGTGGACATGATTCCTGGGGCTCCATCCCTAGCACCATATATAGTGGGAGTGGTGGTATATATCCAAGCACTTGGGAGGTGACAGGAGGGTCAGGAGTTTGAGGTCAACCTCAGCTGCATGGCACTTTGACACCAGCCTGGGCTACATGAAGCCACCTCTAAATCAACACAACAGGCTAGTAAGATGGCTCAGCAGGTCAAAGTCTGAGCGGGGTCCTCAGGACCCACATGGTAGACAGAGAGAACTGACTTTCACACATTGTCCTTTGTCACATGTGTGTCTTAGCAAGTACACACACACACACACTCACACACACACACACACACACACACACACACACACACACACACACACTTAAAAAGCAGGGGCTGGAGAGATGGCTCAGAGTGTGAGAGTCCTCCTTGAGGTGGAGGCAAGAGACCATGAGTTTCAAGCCCCTGTGATCATTTAAAAAAAAGCTAGATGTGGGCCGGGCGTTGGTTGCACACACCTTTAATCCTAGCACTAGGGAGGCAGAGGCAGGCAGATCTCCGTGAGTTCGAAGCCAGCCTGGTCTCCAGAGCGAGTGCCAGGATAGGCTCCAAAACTACACAGAGAAACCCTGTCTCGGGGAAAAAAAAAAAAGAGCTAGATGTAGCAGCTACACATGCCTTTGACTTCATTGTGTACGTGAGCATTTGGGGTGGAGACAGGAGGATGTCTGGGGCTCACTGGCCACTACCTAGACTCTAGGTTCAGTGGAGACCGTTTTCAGGGAATAAGGTAGAGAGTGACAGAGAGGACACAGGTGTCCTCTCTGGTCTCTTCAGTGTATACACATGTGCCTATACCACACACACCTCTAGATGTAACATGGGAAAGCTTAATTTTGCTACCTTAATGTTGATGAGGCAAGAATATACAACAAAGGTCGTATAGCTACTGAAGAAAACAAACAACTTTTTTTTTTTTTTGGACACAGGGTCTCATGTAGCCTAGGCTGGCCTAAAACTCCTCATTTAGCCAATTATCTTAGAGTTTCTGTTGCTGTGGTAAACACCATGACCAAAAGCCATTTGAGGAGAAAAAGGTTTACTTCACCTTCCAGCTCATAGTCCACCATGATGGGAAGTCGGGGCAGGGTCCTAGAGGCAGGAGCTGAAGCAGAACCATGGAGAGAGGCTGCCTCCTGGCTTTCTCCCCATGGCTTGCTCAACCTGCACCTTTTTAAAATTTAATCTATTTTATTTTATTTTTGTTTTTGTTTTTTTGAAAGACAGGGTTTCTCTTTGTAGCTTTGGAGACTGTCCAGGAACTCACTTTGTAGACTCGCTGGCCTCAAACTCACAGATCTCTGCCTGCCTGTCTCCTGAGTATTGGGATTAAAGGCGTACGTGTGCCACCAGCCTGCACTCTTATATACCCCAGGACCACCACTCCAGGGGTGCCATTGTTCACAATGACTTCCCAATTCAGTCACTAAGAAAATGCCTCTTGGGCTCCTCTACAGGCCAATACTATTGAGGCAATCTTTCAATTGTGGGTCCATTGTCTCTGATGGCCCAAGCTTGTCAGCACAGGAAAAATGACTTGTACTTCTCATCCTCCTGCCTTCACTGACAGAATGCTATGGCAAGTGTGAGCCATAATAACCAGTTCCAGATGTATTTATTTTCCCTTGTTACCTGAAGGCAGTGTAGCTAGCTGTACAGGTGTGTGTCATATCCTAGCACTCTGGGGGGTGAGGCAGATGGATGATGAATTCCAGGCCAATAAGGGATACATATTGAGACCCTCTCTCAAAAAACGCAAAAAACAAAAACAAAAACAAAAACAAAGGGCTGGAGAGATGGTTCAGAGCTAAGAGCACTGGTTGCTCTTGTAGAAGACCTGGCTTTGATTTCCAGGACCCACAGGTTGGGAAAGGTTGTCACTCCAGTTCCAGGGCATCCAATGCTCTCTTCTGATTTCTTCAGGCACCACACAGTGCACAAACATGCAAGCCATCTCAACAGCCAACACACATCTAAGCCTCACATTCTACACATAAATAAAATAAGTAACTTAAAATCCAAAATTAATGTCTGGTTGAAGTGGCTTGTGTCTTAAACCCCATAACTGGAAAGGTGCAGACAGGCAGATCACTGGGAGTTTGAAGCCAGACTAGTCTACACAGCAAGTCCAGGCTGTGAGGGCTACATAGGTAGACCCTGTCTCAAAATAACAGAACCGAAAACCAACAAATCAAGCAACCAACCAAACAACCCCCAAATACCCAAAACTTGGTCTTTTCTTTCATTTTTTTCTTTTTGTTTCTTTTGTTTTATTTGAGACAGTCTCTCTACATAGACCTGGCTATCCTAAATATCTGCCTGCCTCTGCCTCCCATGTGCTGGGGTCAAAGATGTACACCATCACACCTGGCTCTTTCGATTTTTAAAATATTTTGTATGTGTGTTAGGATGAGGGGAGCATGTGAGTGACCCTCACTGCACACATGTGAGGGTCAGAGCACCACTTGTGAGAATCAGGTTTCTCCTACAACTATATGGGTTCTAGGGTTCAAACCCATGGCATCAGGCTTGGTACCAAGCTCAATAGCCCATCTCAACAGCCAACGCGCATCTAAGCCCTCAACTCCAAGCTGGCTCCCCCCCCACACATGGGATTCAGAGCCCCAGCCCACCTCTACCCCAGCAGCCAGGCAGTCTCAAGGGCCAGGCAATCCCCCACTTCTGTGTCCAAGCACCCCATTCTCTCCTGCCACCTTCCACCTGTTTAAATTCCTTGTATCTTTCCACCTGTAACTGCTAAGTCATGGTTCCTGGAGACCATGCAGGGAGTCCAGATTTCCAGATCCTCAGTCACCGGGCCTGGGCTGCTGTTCTTACTAAACAGGGTTTTGGCAGGACAGAAAACCACAATGGGCAGATAGCAGCCACACCCTCTGGCTCACTAATGCCATAGCTGGCTCCTTTCACCACTTCAGTGCTAAAGCTAGAGGGGTTTTGTTTCTGCCTTTTAAATTATTTTATATTACTATGACTAGTTTCCCCCCTCCCTCTAAGACAGGGTTTCTGTGTAGCCCTGGCTGTCCTGGCACTCGCTCTGTAGACCAGGCTGGCTTCAAACTCACAGAGATGGCCTGCCTCTCCCTCCCAAGTGCTGGTTTCTTAGCCAGGACTTCTGGCCTTGCTTCCTCTACCTCCCTCCTGCTATCCTCGCACCCAGCTTCTGTAATGCTGAGGCTGTGCACACTAGGCAAGACTGAGTCCCAACCCCCTCTCCACCGTGGGTGTCTAAGACCCAGTGGGTCACCGGGTCTCCGCCTCAATTCTTTGACTACTTTGTAACATCCAAGGGATATGCAAATGAGTAGCTGTGACTGTGTTTCATCTGTGTTGCAGATGTTTCAATAAAAACTTCCCAGCGTAGTGGCTCACCCCTGTGAACCAGGCATAGTGCTGCTGAGGCAGAAGGCTGTGGAGTGCCAGGCTAGTCCTGGTTTCCTAGAGAGAACCTGTCTCAGATAAACCAGCTTTTTTTCTACAGACAAGCTCTTGCGTATCCCAGATTGTCCTTGAACTTGCTATGTAACTAAGGATGACTTTGACCTTTTAATCCTCCTGCTAATATCTATTTAATTTTTGTTTATTTATTTATTTATTTTAGAGACAGTTTTCTTTCTTTGTTTTTTGAGACAGGGTTTCTCTGTGTAGCCCTGGCTGTCCTGGAACTCGCTCTGTAGACCAGGCTGGCCTCAAACTCATAAGAGATTGTCTGCCTCCACCTCCCGAGTGCTGGGATTAAAGGCATGCTTCACCATCATCCAGCTAAAGTTTATATTTATTATCCAGTTATGGTGGTGCATGCCTTTAATCTTGGTACTCAATAGGCAGAGGCTGGGTAGGGAGATCTCAGCGAGTTCCAGGGCAGCCAGGGCTACAAAGAGAGGCCCTATCTCAAGAAAAGAAATAAAATAAAAATTACATTTATTTATTTATTCTGTGGTGCTGTAGAATGTGTCAAGGTTAGAGGACAATGTGTAGGCATAGGTTCTCTCCTTCCATCCTGTGGGTTCTGGGGCTCAAACTCAGGTCACCCAGATTGGCCACAAGCCCCTTTACCTGCTGAGCCATCTTGCTGGGGCCAGTTTTCATTTTGATTGTCCCCTTTTTTTTGTTTTGTGACAAGAGATGGCTGTTTCTTAGGCTGGCCCAGAGCTCTAGATAGCCAGGTTGGTCTTGAACTTGTGATTTTCCTCATAACTGTGTGCCACAGTCTTGTTCTAATTTTCGTGAAGTGAGGTGATCTTGGGCTACTACTGCAAAGGCCCAAACGGTCGTTCTTGTTGGTCCAGTTGTCATTCCAGGACTCAGGGAGACTCCTGAGCACCTTGGCTGTCATTCCAGGGCTCAGGGTACACAGCCCCTGCCCCCCAAAAATACATAGGATACATAAAAAGGAACCAGCACTTGAGAGGCTGCACCAGGAGGACTGCTGGGAGTTAGGAACATCTTGGGCTACATGAGACTGTCTCAAAAACTAAAAGCAAAATATCCCCAACCATTTTTTTTTTCCTCTGTGTAGTTTTGGAGCCTGTTCTAGAACTCACGCTGTAGACCAGGCTGGCCTCGAACTCAGAGACCCACCTGCCTCTGGGATCAAAGGTGTGCGCCACCACCGCCTGGCTCCCCAACCAATTTTAAACTAACGGAAACCTAAACAAGGTGTGGCATGTGCCTCAGTACCTGGCTTGAGCGGTGGGTGCGCTGTCAGGGTGTCTGTTTGCTCCAGACTCTACACTAACCTTTGTCTTTCTCTATATGCCCATAGAACTTCCCGGACGAGACTCTGAAGTGGCCAAACTGGGAGTCATTGGTGGACTGCACCCAGCGGTTCCTCCAGCGCTCTGTGGGGAGACAGGAGGATTAGCCGGCAAATGCTCTCCATCAGGAGCACGGCCGGTGGACAAGACCTCCGCCCATCGCAACCATCGCTTTCACCTCCGTCTAGAAACTCCTCCTGGAAGTACACAGTGGCCAGCGCCACGCGCAGCACACAGATGGCCCAGAGCGACACTCGAGCCCGGGCCATGGCTGCATGCGCGACTCCCGCTCTTCTGCTCTCCCGCGTCTGCCCGGCTCACCGGACACGACCCAGAAACTACAACTCCCGTCATGCCTCGCGATTGTGACCTGAGGGCCCCTGAGTGGACGCGCTGGAACTACGGCTCCCGTGACGCCCCGCGATTGTGACCTGAGGCGCTCATTGGTGGGCGGAGCGCGGTGTCCGACGGGAGATGTAGTCTCCCACTGCACTGGAGCGGTCTCCTGGGGCAACGGCATCCCCGGGCCTTTGCTTTGCGGCCGAAGCCCGTGGCTGTCGTAGCGGCAGGGCAATGCGGGAAGAGATCAACGCTGGTACTGAGCTGACCTCACAGTGAGCACCTGGGTTAGCGGGGTAGTGCGGGGAAGGGAACTCCGTTCCCGAGCCTTAGTTTCCCGGTCTGGAGGGCGCAAGAACGTGATCCCGTAGGGCTTGCTCAAAAAGGGGAGGAAACCGAGCGGCGGCAGTGTGGCATGCTTAGCTCCTTTGTGTGTTTTGTCAGTCGTCTGAGACCGCGTCTCCGGTAGCCCACACCCAGGCTGGCCTGGAGCTCCCTGTGTCATCGAGGCTGCAGCACTTTCCAGGTGCTGAGATTGTGGTCGTGGCGTGCTCCACCGTGCTCGTGAATATATTAAACTTCTTTAAAAGTATATACAGTAAAAGTTTTTACATTTGTTTGTTTGGTCAGAGGACAAATTACAGGAATCAGTTCTCTCCTTCCTTCCACCATGGGTTGTCAGAGTAAACTCGGGTCGTTGTGGGCAGTGAACCAGTGCCCTTGCCTCGCTTTTCAGGTTGAATAGTATCCTACCTTCTGCATTCCCTGCTCTCCGATTCACAGTGGTTCCTGGACATCTGGCTTGTTTCCCAGTTTTGTATTTTGTGAATGATCTATGCAGCAGTGCCTTCATTTCCATTTCACTTGGGCCCCTTTGGAATGGCTTACATAGTAACTCCAGGTCTATCACCTGTATCTTTTTCTTTCTTTTTTCCTTTCTTTTGTTAATGTGTGTTCAAACTCTTAGCAGTCAGTATGGTCTTCTGCCACTTGGGCGCTTTGGAATGCAGGAGAGGAACGGAAGGGAATCTCTTAAGAAGCCGTGCTGGACCAGTGAGATGGCACAATGGAAAGGAGCCAGTGAGGGGGAGAACCAAATGTTCTGTTGTTTGTCTTCTGACCTCCACAGGTGTGAACACACACTAAATAAAATGTAATCAAATCTTTAAAACAATTTTTTTAAAAAAAAAGAGGAGCTAGAGAGATGGCTCCGTGGATTAAAGGTGTGTGGCATCACAGCTGACTAAAAGAAATACTTTTAGGGGGCTGGAGAGACGGCTCAGTGGTTAAGAGCACTGGCTGCTTTTCCAGAGGTCCTGAGTTCCATTCCCAGCACCCACATGGTGGCTCACAACCATCTGTTATGAGATCTGGCGCCATCTTCTGGCCTTCATGGATGCATGAGGAAGAATGACATATACATAATAAATCTGAAAGAAAGAAAGAAAGAAAGAAAGAAAGAAAGAAAGAAAGAAAGACTTCTAGACAGGTAGTGGTGATGCTTCTTTAATCCCAGCAGAGGCAGGCAAATCTCTGAGTTCAAGGCTGGCCTGGTAAGTTCCAGGACATCCAGGGCTAAACAGAAAAACCCTGTCTTGGAAAAGAAAGATGAAACAAAAAATAAACAAAGTAAACAAAGTAAGTACTTTAAAAAACTAAAAATGCAACCTTGGTTTTCCTAGAATGGCTTCCACAAGAAGGCTCATTGGCCCTCCTCGTGGTGTTTTTGACTTCAGTGATATGTTCTTAGAGGACTCACGGATGGAAGACATAAGAAACATACAAGCCCAAAGTCTTGGCCAAGTGACACCCGGGCAGAACCGAATCCTAAAGAGAAACCAAAGGATGGATGAGAAATATTTGATGTCCAAAGAGGAGGCCATGCTAGGGAAGGGGCCAAGGTTGGGCTTGAGGCCTCCCACCATCACCTCCAAAACCAGAGCCAATGAGGCCCTTAGGAAGCTGGCCCAGATTGAAACCAAGATCCGGAGTCGGAAGCAGACATCCATGGCTTTGTCTGACACAGAGTCTGACTCGAAGACCACAGAGCTGCATCTTCCAAAGGGGAAAGATGCAGCATCTGCAGCTCCTTCTGAACATCCACACAGAACCTTCCAGAAACAAGTCTGTAAAACCCCCACAACAAAGAGCAATGGGCAAAATGGGAAAGGTAGCAGGTTTCTTAAGAAGAAAGAGCCATCCATTGAGGCTAGGTCCCCGGTGCCCACAGTGGAGAAAGGGAAGCACATCCCACCACCCAGGCAGAAAGAACCTGCTAGAAAATGTGATGCTCCCGACAGTGATGAAGAGGAAATTAAAGCATTGCTTGGAAGCTTGATGGACTCTTCTAGAGAAGAAGAAACAAATAGGAATCACCAGCTCACCAGCACCAAAGTCAGCATGATTGACCATGGAAAATTGTCTTCGGTAAGGTTTTCTTTTGTTGGTTTCAATGTTTTAAGTTTTTTGTCATTCTGGGGATGGAACTGGTTTTGCAAGTCCCGAGCAGATGGTTGGCTCAGAGACCCTCCCATTTGTATGTATATGTGCATCTGTATTGTGACGACCCACGAGTGCCTTGGTGCCTACAGAGATAGGTAGAAAGAAGAGGGCATTGATTCTCTGGAGCTAGAGTTAAGAGAGGGTTGTGAGGCAACCTGATGTGAGTGTTGGGGACCAAACTCAGGTCCCCTTCAAGAAAGAACAACAAGTGCTTTGTCCTAGTTAGTTTTAATTGACAGCTTGACACAACCCAAGCCACCTGGGAAGAGAGAAATCAGTTTTGAGGAATTGTCTTGATTATTTATTGATGTGGAGGGCTCAGCCCACTGTGAACTGGAGGTGCCTGAGTGGTCTTGGGATGTGTGGGAAAGCTAGCTGGGTGGGAGCAAGCTGTTGTATGGCACCATTGCCAGGGAGATGTGAGTAGACCTCTCACCCCAGATAGGGATCCAGTGACAAAGGTACAACCAGAACCTAAGTCCAACCTGGAGAACGAATAAGTTTACTGGGGACACTTACAGAAGTAGAAGTAACTAAAAGACAGCTGATGACCAGAGCCCACCCCAGAGTGGGTGACAGCTCACAGTCATAAATACAAATGCTGGGCAGCACTTTGGCCATTTGTTCACATCATTTACCAAAGCCACAGCTCTCGATTTCCTCAAGCCTGATCCTTCCCACCCCCCACTCCCCCACCCCCGC